ATGTTAATACTCCATAGCACAAGACATGGGTAAACATTCAAAAGATAGCTTGCCAGGCAAGATAACATACGCCCACTACCAGCTGTCAGAATGAAAACAAAATCTTTAGTGGCTTAATAATAAATTTTTAAATAATCTTAAAATCATCCATAAGTCAAGGTAAAAACCTGAAACAGTTCATCAAGTTATCATGAAATTCAAACATGAACAATGTCTCATTGCTGTACACACAAGGGCAATAACTCGGAAACTGTTGATTCGATTATTACCAATTTCTAACTTGACCAAGATTTCATCTTGTACATCTAGTTTCATCAAGATTGGATAAAAACTGTAGTCTGTAACGTGCCTGCAAGCCGAATTTGACAAGTTTTTACTAGGGCAATAACTACGAAACCCTTCATCGGATTGTTACCAATTACGAACTCGAACTCGAGAGAGATCTCATCAATATATACATGCATACCAAGTTCCATCTAGGTTGGATAAAAACTGTAGTTTCTATCCTGCCTAAAATCGAAATTTGATTAACTCTGAAACAAATCATCTGATTGTTACCAATTACTCACTTGACTGAGAACTCATCAATATATACATGCATACCAAGTTTCATCAAGATCGGATAAAAACTGTATTCTCTATCTTGCCTACAAGGGCAAATTTGACACGTTTTTACTAAGTCAAGCACAATTACTCTGAAACCGTTCATCCGATTATTACCAATTTCGAACTTGAATGAGATCTCATCAATATATACATGCATACCATGTTCCATCAAGATTGGATGAAAACTGTAGTCTCTATCGTGCCTACAAGGCAAATTTGACGCGTTTGAAACTGTTCATCTGATTATTACCAATTTTGAACTTGACCCAGATATCATCAATATATACATACATACCAAGTTCCATCAAGATTGGATGAAAACTGTAGTCTCTATCGTGCCTACAAGGCAAATTAGTCGCATTTTTACTAAGTCAAGGGCAATAACTTTGAAACCGTTCATCCGATTATTACCAATTTTGTTTCATCAAAATCGGATAAAAATTGTAACCTCTATCGCGCCTACAAGAAATGTGAACGAACGGACGGACGGACCGACGGACAGGGGCGACGGCAATATACATCCACATTTCCACGTGGGCGTATGAAAAATAATCCGCTAAAGAAAAAAGTACGTAGTCCTACCGCCTTTACCAAGGAAAGTGACATCATTGAACTTCAACTAAACTACTGGGAACGAAAAAATAACCGTTAATCCCTTGATCCGGTTTTATGAGATTAAGCAATGAATTTAATCATAATGTGTAAGCTATCTTTCATTCAATCATACCTGTATACCATTTATCTATCAGTTATACTTAGATGTTATCTTGCTTTCAGTAATACCTGAATTCTATCATTGCTATGGTGAATGTTGTCTACATATGTACTCACAATTGCTAAAAGCCATTCAATGCCAACTCACAATCATTTCAATAGTTTGTTACTGCAATGAATGCGAGAGTTTCTATCCAATTAAACTCATTGCTTAAGACTATGTAAACTGATCAAACAAGATTGAAATTGGACGATGCGTTGACGAACAGTTTTACTTCAGGGGTGGGGTATTGTACGCTATTGGAAGGGAAGTCTGAAGGTTATCTGCAGACAAACGCAAGATAAGGATGAACACCATTTCCAGCAATCTGAGACAAATGATTGTTGATGAAATATCATGATTTTTTTTTTGTGTGAAGATCCTTTCATTTTTACCTGCCAATCGACTTAAATATGGTCATGCCTTGAGATTTCTAAATATTTATATGAATTCAGACAAAGTTCTTGAAGGAAAACTTTATGTCTTTTTGGCAAGTTTTGTCCTAAGTTCTCTCCCCCTCAATGTTCAGCACTGTCAAGGATTCAGTAGAAAAAAAATATTTATACATGATATTCATCAGGAAATGACTTCTAAATTTTAAAAACTTCCCAACTTGCATGCAGGGAATGGTATGATTCAAGTCTTTTTGGCTAGTTTTGTCTTAAGTCCTCTCCCCTTCAATGTGCAGCACTGTCAAGGATTCAGTAGAAAAAAATATTTATACATGATATTCATCAGAAAATGACTTCTAAATCTTAAAAACTCCCCAACTTGCAAGCAGGGAATGGTATGATTCAAGTAGGGCGATATTAACTTTGCAAGTAAAAATTGCGATTCGTCACAAAAATGAAATGTTTTCCAGCTTTCTTATTCTAAAAATTTCCCTCCGAAACAAACATTCCCCATTTGACATTTCGACATGCAAAGTTTGATGTTAAGAGTTTCTAAAACCAATTAAACCAAGGTAATAAACAATTGACAGGGGTTTGAAAAATTTGATGGTTTTAACACTTTATTTTAGGCATACAAAGATCTGTATAACACAGGTCTTCTAATCTTTATTTAGGATAAGGTACATCCTTGGATAAGTCAAAATAAGATAAATTCCAGAATGTTTTTGACCTATTGTGGACAATCTGAGAGACAGACAGACATAGATATGTCATATCAGTAAATAAAAATATATCACATCAATATCTACCTGCAACCGGAAAGAAGGACTTGACGATACATTTCAACACTAGAGCGTCCTCCAAACTGTCTTCCAGTTAGATAAGTATTATGAGATGAATTGATGAAATAATGAGCTAATGGTTGATCCATATCAACATAGATATCCAATCTGTCTAGAAAAACTGGGGCATTCTCATCAGACATCAAATATCGGCAAAATCCATCTAAACTTAAATAACCTGTAAATAAATCCAAATTATGATAAGATAGCTTGCCAGGCAAGGTAATATACATATACACCCACAGGCAGCTTTGATTTTGAATAAAATTTCTTTGGAGGTACAGTTCCAATCACCAGTATGAAATATTCAACCTTCAAAGTAATACACCTTTTTTTTTTTAACTTTTTGGGGTGATGCTGAACAATATAAACCAAGTTTTGTCAAAATCTAAAAATCTAAAGTGCTTTCAAGATAGAGGTCATTAACTCATATAAAATACTTTTTTGATACTGTTTTCAAGAAAAAGGTCAATAATTCATATAAAACTCATGTAAAATACTTTTGTATTTTTTGTTTTCAATAAAGTTCATTCATGGGGTGATAATATACAATTTTTTAATTAACCCTTTTAAAAAAAATTCAGTTTGGTCAAGAAGATACATAATTATAAATAGCACTCTTAACCCTCTTGGTACCGGGATATTTTTTTAAATATGTCATTTCCAGCCGGGTTAATTATTACAGTCAAGTAACTTAATTTCGTGGAAACCTATTTTTCATGGATTTCCGGAAATGTTTAATAATTTACATGAGCGACCTTGCGCAACCTCCGCATTAGCTTGTTTTGAAAAAAATGGGTTGTCTGCACAATATCAGCTAGTAGAATGAACCCAGTAGTTTCAAGCAAGGTAAAATGTATTAATGTATACTTGACAAATACAAAATGGCGAATTTCAGTTATTACCAAAGGTCACCATTTGTTATCGGCCGAATTTCCTTATAATCCCAAGCGGTAATCGGAATTCCAAGTGTCGTCTGCTAGAATGTAGTCCAACAATGAAGTAACGTGATCAACTAGCGGATTCCGTGTCAGCAGAAAATTTCTATAGAACACAAAGTGGACCATATTCTTATGTTGTTTCAGTGACTTTTAGCAATAAATCACGCTATGTATCTTATTTTGTCAGTCACAATTTTTTTTTTAAATCCTGGTTCTTTGAAGGAGTTGTCACTAGTTATAATGAATTGATATTAAAGATAAATACTAAGAGAAGTTAATTATACCACCTGGTATCCATACAACGTGTTTTCCTAGACTTATTTATAGATCAAACATTGTACCAAAAATAGGTGAAGCATTCTGCCGCCGTTGCCGAGTTGGTTGCACATGAAATATGGGTCAAAGTGAAGGATTCATAAAGAAAATCGAAATAAACCAATTTTAATAATTTTCTAGAATATCTCAGGAAACATCTGAGACATAAAAAAAAAAATCTGATTTTTTAACTTTGACAAAATTCGGTGTTGAATCCTTATATCCAAGAAAATAGGTTACACCACTGTACTAATTATTAACACTTTGGAGTACAATTTTGATGAATTGTAAGTAGTATATGAGCTTATAGATTGGTCGCATAGGGGATTCCCCCATTCCATTTCATTTCATGGGGAAAATGCGACCAATATATAAGCTCCCAAAAAGAGTATATGAGCTTACAGATTGGTCGCATAGGGGATTCCCCATTCCATTTCATTTCATGGGGAAAATGCGACCAATATATAAGCTCCCAAAAAGAGTATATGAGCTTATAGATTGGTCGCATAGGGGATTCCCCATCCCATTCCATTTCATTTCATGGGGGAAATGCAACCTATCTATAAGCTCCCAAAAAAGACCTAAATTCCCTACATTTCATAAATTCTTACAGCAAAACATCCTACATTTCATAAAACATCCTACATTTCATAAATTCTTACATTAAAAAAGACCTATACACTAAAAACACCTTCAATCAATTTCCTACATTCCATCAAAAAAGCATATTAAAATAATGTAGAAGGGAGATAACTCTTTTTGAAATTTTCTACTCAAATTTTAAACCTTAAAAATGGCAAATAAAATACTAGATCCAATCTTTAAATTATACGATCCGATTCGTTATTCATTTAACAAGAAAAAAGAGGATTATATTATCATCTCACCCACTGTTGGTTCTAAATCCCAATTGAATGATGGTGGTAGAATTACCTTCGAAATAAATTCATTATCGAATTGGTTGCTTCTTTCCGATGCTTATTTCAGATGCCATGTCAAAATTAAAGATGGAACTCCCAATGAAAATCGTGTTCCACATACAAATACAACGTTAGAAAACAATTTCTTTCCATCTTTATTTAGCGAGATGGTTTTGGAAGCTGGTTCAAATCCGATAGAAACAATATAACACCCTGGGGAATTCGACAAAATGTTAAAAACAGTTTTATATCCCAAAGATTTCGATTCAGTCTCAGGTTGGATACCCGATGTTGGCGATGGAAGTATTTTAAAGGAACCGGTAAGAAATCTTGCAAATGATGCCAATTTAGCTAGAGTGAGAGTTGTTGCTCGAAACACAATAGAAAGAGTAGGACGAGCAGCTAATCATGGATTCGAAAAACGAGTACTTCAGTATAATAATGTTGTTGAGAATAACAGGTGGGGTAATTACGTAAATTGGAACTTATATCCTTTATTCGGTCTGTTGGAACACAGAAAAGTTTCCATAGGCTTACCATATAAAATTCATCTACAAAGAGAAATCAACGACGATAAGATATTCTTTGGAGAGAATAGTTCAGATGAAAAATTAGAAATAACGAATCTCCAACTTTTCAAACCCGTAATTACACCATCAATTGAAGTGGAAATGAGAATATTCAACTCGTTAACTAAAGATATTGAAATAGCTTTTCTTCATCGTTTAACATTAGGTAGCATGACTTTAACGGGAGAATCCTTTAGAGTGGCAATGAACCAAACTCAAGATCCTTTAATCCATAGAGTTCAAGTAAGATTAAATAACGATAATTATCCTAACCAACCTTTAACAATTAATCCAACCACAAAGGATTATAATGAATTGTATAGAAACGATAAAAATATGTGTGAATTATTTGGAAATCTACCTCAGTTCGAATATGTAGATTTTGCACTTAATCATCCAATCTTCTGTTTTGATCTATCAGCTCACCAAGAAGATCTTTTCAAAACAGGAGTGAACATAAATATTCATATTGAAAAAACACAAGGAGATGTAACAGGTTATTGTTTATTATTGGAAGAAGCAAAACATTTAATTAAAATAGCAGATAGAAGAATGATAAGAATTGAGTAAAAAATACACCCTTAAAAATGAAAGTAGAAACTTTAGTTATGTAAATAATAGAAGCTGTTGAAACAGATTCCCCTACTGTAATAACTGTCAACGGTAAAAAAATCAGTATAACTAAAAAACTTATTGATAAATACAAATATTGTAAAGTCAGAGACGATATGGATTTAGAAAGAATTGACGCAAACGCAAAAGAAGGTGGATTTTTACCTCTCCTTCCTTTAATATTTGCTGGTATTACCGCGGCGGGTGCAGCTACTGGAGGAATATTTGCCGCAGTCAAAGCTGACAACGCAAAGAAAGCTGAAGCCGCTGCAAACACCGAAGCACGTAGACACAATTTAGCAATGGAAAAGGAGGCATGAGGTTCAGGAGTGGGAGAAATGATAGGCACAATAAAAGAATTTGGAAAAAGATTTGGGGAAGAAACCAAGAAAACTGTTAAACAAGGATTAAATAAATTAGTAGATAGTATTGACACGGGTGAAGTCAAAGTCAAACACAAGGGTAATGGAATATTTTTAAAAAATATACACATTGGAGAAGGAATATTTCTTTCAAAGTATAAAGGAGAAGGAGTGATTTTTGGAACAATATAATAATAAAAAACGGATAAAAAATTTAATCATTCAGAAATATTTCCTAATAACCCAATGCTCATGTGTATCTGCGGTAGTTCCGGTTCTGGGAAAACTCATCTCACTTTTAACATGTTGACAACACCAAACCTTTTAGATTTCGATTCTCTGTATATCTACAAAACAACACCAGAGCAATCGTATTATCAATTTCTCAAAGCTTTAGAATATCTACCAAAGAAAGATGTTCAAGACCTATTTCAATATTACGAAGAAGAAGTGGAAATAAAAGATATCATAGATAACTACATCGAAGCAAAGAATCCAACGGATATAAAAGTTTTTCTTACGAAAAATGTTAATGATCTAGACTTGTCTAATATTGATAGCAAACGAAAGAACTTAATATTGTTTGACGACTGCGTAGCGCAAAGAAATCAAGCTGTTCAACAAGAATTCTTCACGAAGGGAAGACATCACAACTGTCACTGCATATACCAATCCCAATCTTTTTACGGGATGGATTCTATGTTCATTAGAAAAAATGCAAATTGTTTTTTATTATTTGAATTAAACGATAAAGATTTATCTCAAATCATTCAGTCGATAAATCACGGAATGGACAGAGATGCATTTAAAAAGGTTTGTAAAGGTCAATGGAGAAACCCAGATGAACATGGATATGTATTTGTAAATACTAGAAAACCTGCGGGTGAAAGAGTTATGATCGGCATATGTTTATTTTATTTTTTTATAATGGATAATTGGAATAATATTTTAAAAAGAAATAGAGAATATATCAAAGCTAAGAATAAAATAAAAACCCAAGTTGAAAATAACAGATTACAACAACTCGGATTAACGGAAAATCTACAAACTCTATTTCAACCCATATTAAAATCTCAAGAGGATATTAAAAAGAGACTTATCCCTCCTATAGAAACTACACCTCCTATAGAACCTCCCAAAGCGATTGAATATCATGGTATTATAATTAGGACAGTAGATGATGTAAAACATTATTTTTCAAACCCTGACCCAGATTTACCAAAGAGCATTTCACCAATCATTGATGAAGCAGGGTTACGGTTTAATGGATTTAGAGTAAGATTTAGGGCAAATACCCCCGAATTTATAATCGATACAAAAGATTATATATACACATTAACGAAAGGATTAATAGATTTAATGAATGGGGAGGATGCTGGCAATGCCGATTACAAGGATTTAGTAGCATACTCCAAATTTCTAGATACAATAAGAAAGTCAGGACCCGAAACAAGAAGATCAAAAGAAGTTAAACTATATAAAAGAGTAATTGAACGTGATGAAGAGGAGTTAGGTGATTATGCTGAAGAGCATCCTCCTATCACACAAGAAATAGACGAATTCGAAGATATGGTATCTGGAGAAGGTATAACGTTTTTATCCGACAACAACAAGGAAATACTTGGCAATGAAGGAAGGACATCGAACGCACAGACAATATAATGAAGTAAATTGTATATTAAAAAGACTCCTAGAGAAAGGTATCATAGATAAAAATAGTCATTAAAAAATGTCAAATAAAGAACAACTATTCGTCATCACCTCGAATAAATCAGACATTAAATTGTCTCTAGACTATGAGTACGAACTCGATCGCAATCAAGAATATGAATTGGGATTAAAGTATTTCTCTGTTTACAATTCCATTAGAAATATCAACGAAAAAAATAACCAAATAAAAATATCAACAGATAACGGAGTTACGTTCAAAACCATACGTTTACTACCAGGAAGCTATGAATACATAGCCATTAACGAATACTTATTTGAATATGCAGGAAGCGTGAGTGGTAAAAACAATATTGAATTCGAAGGTAATTTGAATCTTAACAAAATAAAATTGATATTAAGAAATAATTTTCAAGTTGATTTCAACGTAGAAAATTCATTGAATACGTTACTAGGATTTGATAAACGACTATACACCCAATCCACTTTAGCACCACACAAATCTAATATCGAGAATGATATCGATGTGATAAATACACATTGCAATTTGATAAACGTCAGATTATTTACAGTCTTCCAACATTCACTGTACCGATTGGATATAGAATTATAGAGAAACCATTTCAAACGACGTATTTATCACTTAATTCCTTTATGATTAAAGATATAAATCTGGAAATTAAAGATGGTAAAAATAGGTTTATAGATTTTGGTAACCAGGAAATTGTTATTCAACTTCATTTAAGACAAAAAAATTAACACTCTTCATTCTCTTCTTGAATAGTCAGATAATCGTAATCATCAAATTCGTAGTTTTCATCTATGTTTCATTCTTTTCCGTCGTTGTAAGAATACATAATTCCTTCACTGTTTGGTGCTTTTCTCTTAACGAGATTCAGATAACTTTTTTACTGTGAGATAATATAAATGCACCTAAATGAGCGGGTGTTAATCTAGTAAAATCCTTTGGAGGAACAAACTCTTTTTCTTCGTCATTAATCTGAACGATATATTGGGTCTCATTTACTTTTTCATAGCTTTTGACGTGTGAATCATAGTTGGCTTTAAAAGTCGCTTCACTCCATAGATGTCTCGATGTATTTATATCCTTCTGAATAGATTTACTGTATAAGGAATTACCTAATAAATTCATGCAATTATCTCCTTCTTTTTTGTATTTATTCCTTAATTCCTTCAAAATTAAAATATAATCTCTGTATGGTGGAGTTTTAAAATTGTCTTCATATACTATTCCATCTAATATTTTAATAATTTTACTACCGGATTTCACTATTTCTTGAATATCAACCGATGTTAAAACATCTGAACAGAAACCATTTCTAAACCTGATTTTAGTGCCAGTTTCCTTCTTACCTATTATATTCGTAAAAGTTATTTTATCTTTAGCTGGTATGGGTTGAAAGAACATGTTGGTAGGATATTTAAACCAGACTTTTAAAATAGCAGTTCTAGGTCTGAATTTCTGCTCATTAAAGAGCTTGACAAATTTTTCATTTTCCTCTAGTCGAAAAGGTCTGGCACTTTCTGCTTTAGGATATTCACCTTCTGCGTACAACCCATTAGCATCAAATGCCATCAGTTTAGAATAGTCCAGTTCTTTGAGTTTAGCGTGAACTTCCGTTTTATCTTTTGGGTTAACACTGCATTCTTTGAATAAATCTATTATTCCTTCAGTGTCACTTTCATTGTATTCTTTTAATAAAGCGCAGATCTCATTCATTTTATCCGTTTCAAATGATTTTCGATTTGCCGAAACTCTTCCTCCTTTAGTACTTTGTCTGATAAAATATCTTATAAAAGGGTGAGTATGTGAGTAAACTTTTTCTACGTTTTATTTTTCCATATGTTTCGGAACCATTCTAGTACTTTCATACCATTCTTCTTCAACCATTTCTTTATCGTAATGATATAAATAATACCAACCCTTTAAAGATAAAGAAGGAGCCGTTAGATTATTGGAAACGTTTTGGAAGACAGTTTTTTTCATTGCTTGATTGTATTTTATCAAACATGCTCCGAGACATAACGTATCTCTTTTAGCGTAAGGTTCCCATTTGTGTCTTAAAGATTCCCAATTATCTTTAATGTATTTTGCATTAATAACATCCTCGATCTTTCTCAAATTCATTGGTAGATTAGATGAATTTCCCCATGCTGCCAAACTAGATGATTCGTGTTGATAGGAACATATGAAATTAATATTTTGCAAATAATTAGAGTTACCCTTTATTTCTTTCTGTCTTTTCCATTTTTTCTGTAAATCTTCATCAGTGAATGAATTAGTTAAAGGTAGAGACAGAATTCCTCTGGGCATTTTTAAAGGGCATTGTGTAATTTTTTTTACGTTTTTGATCATGATCCAGTTATCAAAACCGCTAGCGTTATGAGCAATTAATGTTATTCTTTTCTGATCTATTTTTCCTAAACGTTGTAACATTTAATTGATGCAATCTGTACCTACAAATATTTCTACTATATTAGTCATGAGTTTGTTGTAAAATTCTTCTGGAATGGGATCTGTCGGCTTTAAATCTGGAAAGAGATTATTTATTCTGTTTAACATGGCTTTATTTTCGTTGTAGGTTTCGCAATCCCATGCGTATAAACAATCATCGTGAATGGTTGGAAAAACGTTTAGTTTTAGAGGTGAAACTTGCATTACCGTTTTATCATCTCTACAAGTTCTCCATACATTTTCATCGTAATTATCTTCTATTTCTTTAATGCCTAAGGTTTTGTTATTTCTTCTTATCAAACAGAAATGTTCTTTGTGTAAATAAAATACCCCATCTAATTCTTCGGTTACTTTCTTTGGTTGAAAATGTCTATGTTTGGGCATATAAATTTGAAAATTAGTATTAAATTTCTTAATGAATTCACAGATTCTAGCAGTTGTCATAACTCCTTTTCTGTTTGATTTTGAAAAACTGTTGATGAAATCTTGAAATTCTCTCGTGTAGTCTTCGTTTAAAACACGATTAACGCACTTTACAAAGCAGTATCCATCGCTCGGTATATAACAATTTATACCGTGTATTCTTTTATCTTTTTGAGTAGGGTAACACCACTACCCTTTTTTGATCTTTTTATTTCTTTGAAATTGTTTTTATGGAAAATCATTTTTCCTGTGAAATACCAGGAGGCATCCGATTTATTATCCACCGCAGTGAAGAAATTGACAAAATTTTGGTATTAAAACCTATAAATTTCATGTCTTGTTTGTATTTTCCATCTTGAGTTATCTCTCCATTTATTTCAATTTGCCCTTTAAATGTTGTAAATTCATTAGTGATAAGCTTAATAACATCGTAAAAAAGTTCATTTGATATGAATTTATCAATTTTATTCATATTTTTTAATTCATCAGAGATAATCTTGTCAATAACATCGTCTAAAATTTTAATTGATATGAATTTTTTATTGTCTAAAATTTCAATTTTATTCATATTTTTAAAGCAACTATTTTTAACTAGGAATTTTTAACTTTTATTGATGATATTTCTACATCAAATTTATCTAAAATTTCATTGAATTTTTCTAATTCTTCAATGGTTATGTTCTTATCTTCTCTGGATCTTTCGAAAAAATATAAACAATTTATTAAGATATGTATTTAAAATTTCTGTTTTCCTTTTATAATGAGCTTTCTGTTTTGATGTAAAACCTAAAGTAATCAATGCGTCATATCCGAAAAGACACAACTGTTAGAATGTATTATAACAGACTCTCAAACTGCTAAAAATGTATTATAACAGACTTCCCCAAACTGTTAAAATTTATTATAACAGACTACCCCCAAACTGTTAAAAATGTATTATAACATACTCCTTAAACTGTATTATAACAGACTCCATATAAATTACCCAAACCACAGACAAGAATCACTATAATAATACAGTATAAAATAGCCGCATTAAAAAAAAAAAAAAATGTCTTTAATTTTAAAACACGAACAAAAAAAATTCGAAGGAGATGGTTTCTTCTCTGCGCTAACATCTCTCATCCCCAAAGTGGCCAATTTTGTCTCAAACAACAAATTTCCTCAGGAGTAGATGCAGTCAAAAGATCTAATGATTCATTTCTATCGCTTGAATAGTTTTCTCCTTGTATTAAATCTTTCGTATTAAAAATATATGGTGTTTATTGAACAAATATGTCTTTAATAAATGTCCATCCTCCTAAAACGTATTTCGGTGCGGGAGACATTCAAAAGTCATTGGGTTCTCTTCGTGGGTTCCCATGGGCAAAATATCCCGGAGAAAAACATCTCCCAGGGCACAATTATACAGGTCCAGGCACTAGGTTAGATCTGCGTTTAGACGATCTTCCCCAAACCAGGGGAAGAACCCGTTAATAAAGTTGATGCAGCAGCGCTCAAACACGACATACTGTACAGAAACAAAGACATAACATTCAGACACCAAGCAGACAAACAAATGATAGACGAACTCGAAAATATTCCCAATCCCACTTTCAAAGAGAAATTACAAAGGGCTCTTATCATAAAACCCTTGAAGGCAAAATGGAAATTGGGTATGGGCATAGCAGACGAGATTCACAAAGAATTTCGAAAAAACAAACATTACCTCAAAGTCAAAGTTTTTGATAAAGATGAAATTTGGTCAGCCGATTTAATCAACATGCCAGTCGAGAGAGGGTACAAGTATTGTTTAACGGTGATCGACATATACACGAGATACGCTTGGGTCTTTTCCTTAAAAAACAAATCGGGTCTGACTGTCAAACAAGCATTCGAAACCATAATGAAACAATCTGACAGACGACCCCTAAAGTTGTGGGTTGATAAAGGAAGCGAATTCTACAACAGAAATGTGAAATCTCTGGGGTTTGAAATAACGAAGGTAAGGCCGTAGTGATAGAAAGATTCAACAGGACTCTTAAAAGCAAATTATTCAAGAAATTCACGGAATTGAAATCTCAAAAATGGCTTAAAATATTACCAGTTGTTGTCGACGAATACAATAACAAAATACACTCGTCTATAGGTGTTACGCCAACGCAAACCTCTAATAACCCGAATATCATAAAGTCCGTCAACACTCGAAACAACTTTGAAAACGAGATTAGTAATTTGAATATTAAACCCAAGTTCAAAGTTGGAGATCAAGTTCGTATTTTTAAATATAAATCATTGTTTCAGAAAGGTTACGTCGGGTATTGGACTAACGAGATATTCATCGTTGATAAAGTAAACAGCACCCTACGTATGAATTGATCGATCAAGACAAAGAACAAATCATAGGAAGGTTTTATCAAAATGAACTTAAAAAAACTGACTCTTAAAAATGAATCTCGAAAATGAAGATTTAGATGAAAGGTTAAGAAATTTAGATGTCGACAAGCATTTACGCTCTCTTAAATTAAGATTTTTTAAATTTAAATGTAAATTTATCTTTAAAATATTATTGAATGTGTTTTATCAGAATGTTATACAAGTGTTTTCAAACACAAACTACGTATATATTTCGTCAATTGGGTCTTCAGCAATACTTACCGCCTACTTCGAAAAACACCTAAAAAAAATCAACTTAAAAAATGAATGCATTTCTCGATAAATACGGAAAAGACACGACCACAAATTTTCAACTTGCAAAATGGGCCAAGGAATTGAAGGTCTCACCGTTTTATTATTGCATGGAAGATGAAATTGATGAACTGAAATACAAGAAAGGTAAATTTTACGCCATCACAAACATTCATACTTCGGATCAAAAAGGAGTTCATCACTCTGCTCTACACAAAGATTCTTCGAATAACTTTTATATCTTTGATTCTTTCGGTCTGAAGAGATTACGAAATTGACTAGCAAACCAATCAAATGTTCTACGTTTCAAATTCAAATGCCAGGACAAAAGCTGTGTAGACAGCTGTCGCTTTGGGTTTTATATCGGTTGAGTTTGGGAGAAAAGTTTGAAGAAATTATAATAAATTTAACTCAATAAAAATGGCAAACAAGTTTGGATTAGGGTCTTTACCTCTTGAATCTAAAAATCCCATGACGACATTTATAAACAAAGCGAAACCTTTTTTCGTGGATCAAATCGAAGACACCTTACAAGGGGATATCGATATGAACAATTTCAAAATAACTAACTTAAAGTTTCCAGGAAACGATAACGATGCTGTGAACAAGAAATATTTACTGGATCAAATAAACGCAATTCAAATAGATAAGGACCATGTTGAAAATAGAATAAATGACGTGAAAAAATACTTCAGACAAAATATTAAAAAATCTTGTGAACGAACCCAAACTACAACAAGAGTTAACGAGTTTGAGACGTCTTATTCAAGTGGATAAAACAAGTCAGTTGCAAAATTTAATATCTAAATTAGACGATAAGATTACGAAGGTAAAAATAGACGTCCAACGTATAATACATAACCCAAATGTAAAGGAGGATAGATTGAAACGAAAACTTACCGCTTTGGAAAGAAAACTTGGCGAATTGCTAGCAGAACTAGACAAGACCGCGAAAAAAACGAGTTACAAAATTCAGTATCCAAATTTAACGAAAAGATCGCGAAGCAAAAATCAGATGTTCAAGATATAATTAACACACTTCCCATTGACAAAGATACGTTGAAACAACAATTGACTGCTTTGGATACTAAAATCACGGACGAATTAGAAAAAGAAGTGGGTGTGATTAAAAACTTTCTTCAAAATAAATTTCGAGATGATATGAAAAATTATATTAAAGGACAGGTCAATCTTTTAGTATATAGAATTCATGACGATTTTTTGAGACAAGAGAGAAAGTTGACCAAATTAGAAGCTATTGTCACGGACAAGTCGTATTATTTCAATCTTCCATTCGACAGTGACACTGTCTTCGATGAAAAAGACCAAATTTATAAATCAAACAAATACGGATTCAAAGCAGAAATACAAGTAGGTAGACGGAGAACCTAAAAACGTATTCGATATCGGCGAAACGCAAGGGTTTACTTTTTCGAGGTAATTGACTGATTCAAATAGAGTTTCCCATGAAGGTTAAAGTCAATAAAGTAGTCAAACAAACCGGTAATGCCGTCAAACATATTTCATTATTCAATGATGGTAATTTGGAAGAGAATATACGTTTGATTGATAAAAGGGATCAGGAAATTGAAACGAAAAATGGTAAATATGTAGACACCTTCAAAATGGAAGTAGAAAATGATAAGGATAACATTGGAATCAAAGATTTAGATATGATATTGGAGACGGAAAATCCACCATCAACCAACATTGTCAAAGTTCCACGACACTTACACGTACACGGCTCAATAGAATCGAGCAGTCACGAGTTTTTACGAACAACAGACTTTGAATACGTAAAACTGTATTTCGCTTTAGGTGAAAAATACACCTCAATCGATGTTCATAAAAGTCAACAAGAAAGAGAGTTTATAGCGCATTTATCGTTTGCCGAAGACTCCATCCTTGAAGGTGGTGGTTATATTTTTAGAGCCAAGATAAACATCGAAAAGAAAAAATAAAATATTCCTATCATCTTAAAGAGGACCATACGAAAAAAGAAATGTCGTTAGTACGCGTAAATGTTGTTACTTTTAATAGCCGCGAAAATAATAATGCTAGGCCAAACAAGTACGTTCTATACGATATTCCGTGGTTCCATTTATCGGAAATTCACTTAATTTAACGACTTAAAAAATATGTATCTTAATCAATTGTACATCTTTTTCGAAAGATCGAGAGAAGACAAGAACATAACAGTTGAAGAATTAAAAGAATTCAATGAAATTTTGGACAAATTCCATACAGAAATATCAGCAGTCAAAATAAAGAAATAATCAAAAATATATACTTATAAAAATATGAATAAAATCGAACACTATGAAACATTGATAGAAAACGCCCTATTTTCCGATGTTATCAAGGCTATCTCTGATAAATTTAAAACATTCAAAGGACAAATTAAAATAGGTGGAGAGATAGTCGAGGAAGGGAATCACAGACAATACAAGTCACTCCCCGGTTTCAATGCCAAAACTTTTCACAATATCTTTTCAAATATGGACAAAAAATCCGATGCTTCCGATTGGTATTTTACAGGAAAAATAATTTTAATGAAAGACAATTTCCAAGAAATAAAAAGATCGAGAGTTGGTAGAGGAGGAACTGATCTACTTAAAAAGATAAATGAATACGAAGACGAAAATTGTTACATACCTACAGATGGTTACTGTTTTATCAAATGCGTCAATCGTGTTTTGAACAAAGATTTAACGTGTAAATTTCAAGAATACATCAGCGGGTTTTCAAAAGCAAATAGAAAAGGAGTGATGACTTGTGCTAGAAAGAAGGAATTCAACAAGAAATTTAACACTTCGTTTCAAATTTATAATCCCAAAAACAGAAATTTTCATCCCAGAGACGTTCACGATGAATTAGATTGGGTTTTTTACTTACACAACTCGCATTTCTGTCTGATTAGAAGAAGCCAAAAAAGTTTGGGAATTCAAGAAATAGAAGACAATTACGAACAGGTGTGGAAAACGTGTAGAGACGATAACGCAGTAACACAGGTTTCACCCCTCAAACTAAAAGTGCTTTCAAGTATGAGTGATGATGCGTTCTTCGCTTGGGATTGCGAAACGTATTCAGAAAAAGACACGCGAAGAGAAATTCCTTATGCCTGCACCTTAATTAATTTAGAAAAACTAAGAAAAAAGTTAGAAATTATAAAAGATATCTTTCAAAATATAAATCCTACTGATAATGTTCCAGAAGAATTTTATGATAAACTAATGAATGTAGTAGAACTATTTGTAGGTACAGATTGTATAGATCAAATGTTGAAATATTTAGGTCAATATGATAGAAAGAGATTAATATTAATTTCTCATAACGGCAGTGGATTCGACAACTGGATCGTGCTTAAAAATACAAAAAAACTAACACATTGCCCTTTAAAAACACCCAGAGGAATTCTATCTTTTCCTATCAACACGAATCCTCTAGTTTGGCTGCATGGGGAAATTCTTCCAATCTCCCCGCGAATTTGAGAAAGATTGCCGACGTATATATCGCTAAATACACGCAAGACAACTGGGAGGAATTGAGACACGAATGGGAACCTTACGCCAAGAGAGACACTCTCTGTTTGGGAGCTTGTTTGATAAAATACAACCAAGTCACGAAAGAAGTTGTAAACCAGAATATGTCCAATAATCTAACGGCTCCATCTTTATCTTTAAAGGGTTGGTATTATTTATATCATTACGATAAAGAAATGGTGGAAGAAGAATGGTATGAAACTACTAGAATGGTTGCGAAACATACCGAAAAAGAAAATATAGAAAAAGTTTATTCGCACACTAATCCTTTTATAAGAAATTTTATCAGACGATCTATTAAAGGAGGAAGAGTTTCGGCAAATAGAAAATCATTTGAAACGAACAAAATGGATGAAATTTGTAACGTATTAAAGGAATATATTTCACAAACAGAAAGTAATAACATAATTGATTTATACAAAGAATACAGTGCAAGCACAAAAGACAAAACGGAGGTTCATTCGAGACTTAAAAAAATAGAATGTACTAAACTAATGGCATTTGATGCTAACGGTTTATACGCTTCCGCCATGTCGGATTTAGACAGTGAATATCCGAGAGCGGAAAGTGGAAGAGCGTTTCTACCAGAAGAAGAAAAAGAATTTGTAAAACTCTTCAATAAACAAAAATTCAGACCTAGAACAGCTATTTTAACAGTGTGGTTTGACTATCCCAAAAACATGTTCTTCCAACCGATACCAACTAAAGATAAAATCACTTTCACGAATAAAGAAGGTAAAAAGGAAACGGGTAACAAAATCAGGTTCAGAAATGGTTTCTGTCACGACGTTTTAACATCGGTCTATATTCAAGAAATAGTGAAAGCCAGTGGACGAATTATTAGAATATTAGATGGTATAGTTTACAAAGAAAATTATAAAACTCCACCCTATAGAGATTATATTTTAATTTTGAGAGATTTAAGAAATAAATATAAACGAGAAGGTAATATCGTGGGTAGTAATTACATGAAATTATTAGGTAATTCCTTGTATGGTAAATCAATTCAAGAAGATATATTCACAACTAGACATTTATGGAATGAAGCAACTTTGATTCACGCGTTAAAACCTATGAGAAAATTAATGATACTCAATATATTGTTGAAACAGAAATTGAAGAAAAAGAGATTACTACCGAAGATAGTAAATCTACACGACTAACACCTAGTCATTTGGGATCATTCGTTTTATCTCACGGTAAAAAAATAATGAACAATTTCATTCATGTCATAAATGGATTTTATAAACCTGAAAAAATACTATACCGACACCGATAGTTTGTACATTTCATCCAAAAATTGGAAAAAACTAAACAGAGCTGGTTTGGTCTCCGAAAAAGACTATTGCAAAGGTAAAAACGATTACGGTGACGGTGGAATTATATTTGGTTTATATTCAGCACCAAAAGTCAAATACAACATCGTTCTGACTTCTGATGGTGTTTTAAAAGAAAAGAAAACGTTTAAAGGTTATTCTAATGATAAGATAAGTGTAGAAGATTACGTTCAGTTAGCAAGCGGACATGATGTGTCGAACGATTTTAATAAACCATGGGAAAAAAGTTTCACCAATGGAGTAGTTCCAAATGATAAACAAACTAAAGTTTTTAGAAGTTATCTGAATAATGTAAAAAGAAAACCACCAAACAGTGAAGGAAGTATGTATCCTTACAACGACAAAGATGAGTATAGTTTTGACGAAAACTATTAATTTGATGATTTCGATTATCTTACTATTCAAGAAGCGAATGAAGATTGTTTTAAATGAAGTTGAATTACAATTTCTTCGTTGCCAAAGTCTATGAACCTGTTTTTACCGTCTTTGATTTCCAAATTTATATCTTTGATCATGAAAGAATTGACTGGTAAATAGGTCGTTTGAAACCGTTTCTCTATAATTCTGTATCCGATAGGTACCGTAAAAGTAGGTATGCTGTATATGATTTGTGGTTTGTGCTTGTTGAAAAATCCACCGTTGATCAAATTACAGTGAATGTTGATCACGTCGATGTCGTTCTCGATGTTGGCCCTGTGCGTCGCCAATGTCGATTGCGCGTATATTCGTTTATCGAACCCTAATAACGCATTCAACGAATTTTCTATGTTGAAATCGACTTGACTGTTATTTCTCAAGATCAGTTTTATTTTGTTCAGATTCAAATTACCTTCGAATTCGATATTGTTTTTGCCGTTCACGCTTCCTGCGTATTCGGATAGGTAATCGTTGATGGCTACGTATTCGTAGTTTCCCGCTAGTAAGCTTATGGTTTTGAACGTAACTCCGTTATCCGTCGATATTTTTAGTTGATTGTTTTTGTCGTTGATGTTTCTAAAGGAATTGTAAACGGAGAAATACTTTAATCCCAGTTCGTACTGTTTATTGCGATTGAGTTCATACTCGTAGTCTAGAGACAATTTGATGTGTGATTTATTCGAGGTGATAACGAACAATTGTTCTTTATTGGACATTTTTAATGACGTTTATATAGTCTTTTTTAGTGATGATTTTTTTCTCCAAAAGCCGTTTTAATATGCCATTGACTTCGTTGTATTGTCTGTCCGATCTATGACCTTCCTTCATGGCCGCTAATATTACTCGTAATCTATTAACTAGTTCCTCATTGTTGTCGGATAAAAAAGTTTTACCTTGTCCAGATGCCACCATATCATCGAATTCCTCTATTTCTTGTATGATTGGATAATCTTCTGCATAATCATCTACATCCTCTTCCTCAATAACTTTTGTTATATATAAATCAACTTCTTTCAATCTTCTTGTTTCGGGTCCTGACTTTCTGATCGCATGTAGAAATTTTGAGTATGCTACTAAATCCTTGTAATCGGCAATTTCAACATCCTCGCCATTCATTAAATCTATTAATCCTCTCGTTAATGTAAATATAAAGTCTTTTGTGTCGATTTTGAATTGTGGTGAATTTCCACTAAATCTTATTCTAAAACCATTAAACAATAACCCCACTTCATCAATGATTGGTGAAATGCTCTTTGGTAAATCTGGGTCAGGGTTTGAAAAAAGACGTTTTATATCATCTAATGTCTTAATACCACCATATTCAATCGGTGGATCTTTATGGGGTGAAGGTTCTATAGCGAGTCTCTTTTTAATATCTTCTTGACTTTTTAATATGGGTTGAAATAGAGTCTGTAGATTTTCCGTTAATCCGAGTTGTTGTAATCTGTTATTTTCAACTTGGGTCTTTATTTTATTCTTAGCTTTGATATATTCTCTATTTCTTTTTAAAATATTATTCCAATCCGTCATTTTTAAAAAGATAGCTTGCCAGGCAAGGTAACATACGCCCAC